AAAAGAAGAAAAACAGCCCTTGCTGCTCCCTTAGCTTCGTCGCCAACCACATGCTTCCCCACCAGCTGTAGCAACAGTAAAGATGGTGAGCTAGGTTCCTCTGACACCGTGGTAGTGTCAGAAACCCTCACGCCGGTCATCAAGAGGCCTACTTTTTGCATTGTCTTGACTGATACCAAGATGACCCCCGGACTTGGGACCGGGCCGAGCAAGTAGAGCATATTGAGGGAATGAGTTGTCCATGGACGCCTTCGTCTCGCATCACTGTAAGTGCACAAGCGCAGAACTGGAAAAACTAAACAGGCAGCAAAAGCGGAAAACCGTGGACCAATACTGCTTTGCAGGCAGAAATGTCGTGAAGAAGCAACCATCTGGCACCACTTACTTTGGGAAGTGTGACCGCCACAGGCAGGCACATTAGCGCATCGTCCTGCCTCGCAAAGGCAATACCTGTGCGTCGGCCGATTGGCGGCCGCCCTTGATGTAGTTGATTCATTGAAAAAGGACAATCTGCAGGTGCAAAGAAGTTGGGAAACCAAACCAAATAAACCACAAATATCAAGAAATTCGCACGCGAATCACCAGTGCTGTAGTACGTCTCAACGACAGCCGCAGAGAGCGGCAATCTCACCCACTTCCAGCCGTAAGGACGGGAAATGGCCCAGGCATGAGCAAGAAATCCCGCAGGAAGTGGGTGCAGACGTGCACGCCTGGGAGGGTCATGACCATTTTCAAGCATCGAATAAGAAGTCTTGTGCGTTTGCGCGACTTGCAGAATGTCCACGGCCAGGTTGCGGCGGCACCCCAACGGGGCCGTACAAACATGAAGGAGCAACCGCATCTGTCGTAGTAATGGCCATTGTCTCCGAGCTTCAGTAAAAAGTAGGAGGCCATACGTGAAAACAACAAAGGCAGCAACAGCCATGGCAAGAGACTACTAAACCCTCAAACTACCTTGAACCGCTCGTGGCGCTTACTCAAAGCGTCCGAGATGTTCGCCTTGGTGGGAACTCGTTCGAGCCTATGGGCAAGCCCTCGGCGATTATGCCACGTCCAATGTGCAGCGATGAGACAGTTCAATGGTTGATGTTTGCCGACGCCATTAATCAAGGCATGTCTGGAAGCTTCATTATCGCAGCATTGGACGTAGAAGGTGCCAATAAGAAAAGGCTCGCAGATCATCGGCGCGAGGATCGCGGCCGAGGCTTCGAGCAAGTAGATGAAGGCTCGATCGGCTGAGAACTGCCGAAGTACTATCGACGGTAATCTCCCTTGAAAGTACGCACCGTTGTGCACAACACCTTGGTGGAAGCACAATGCTGCCCAGCCGTTCTCTATGTCTTTGGTCTGGCGCGAGTCCCACTGTGGCAGATTTTCATCGCCTGGGCGGTAAACCTGACCCTGAAGCTTGAAATATGCGTCGGTATAAATGACGCTGTACGAGACGGAGGTGGGATTTCGCGTGATGGTCATGGGTTTGCAATGCGATATGATGTCCCGCAGTGCCAGCAAAGATGATCGTGTTGGCTTGTCGAGTAGGTGCGAGAAGGAGTGTGCTCGGGCGTACAAAGCCTTCAGGGGAGCCCGGCCAACTTTGCCAAGCAGCCGTCCTGCCATCTTCCTGGCCTCCTCTGGAGTCAAACTCCCAGTGCTCAGACGCTTGTCGATCTGTTGTGTCATCGCTTTGACTCGTGCGGGGCACGGAGTCTAGATGACCTTGTATGCGATGTTGTGTCTCCGGTGGTTGTCGTTTGCTGGGCTTCATGGATATCTGCAGGCAACCGTTGTAATCTTCGAAGGCTCGGAAACCACTCTCGGCGGAGGGTTCGTCTTCCATAGATCCATAATCGTCGACGTAGTGAAGCGCAGGTGACAGTACCAGAGTCCTGCTGCATGCGACAAGAACGTCGCCGAATCGGTTGTGCGACCAGAAACTCGCTGCTGATCCAAAGAGAAGAACGTTGTGACTCCACAAGGTGGGCCCAAAGGGCGTCAAGAGCAGGACGTAAGCCTGTCGAGGATCATGAAGGGGTAGTTGACGATATGCTCCATCGTGATCGTGACCCCACACTCGGAGAGGTGTGTTCGCGGTTCATCATGAAGGGGTAGTTGACGATATGCTCCATCGTGATCGTGACCCCGCACTCGGAGAGGTGTTTCGCGGTTCACTTCGACTCGAGGAAGGTCAGAGTGAGACGAAGTGATCGGGGGTGTGATGGAAAGGTTGGTCGTGCATGATGCACATCGCACTGTGCCCACTGCATCGCCAATCCTCTCCTCGGCATATCTTCGTGTTGCCATCACTGCCTGCCTGTGCGATGCTGAACGCCATCGCGATGAATGGATCATCGTGCGGAAGATCGAGCAGGACGTCACATCGGCTCCTTGGTGTGATGTAGCTACAGAAACGTCGGGAGTGAGAATCCCCTGTTCTGCAAGGGTTCTTGTAAGTCGACGGCCATCGGGTTGTAAAGTCGTGGCCAATCGTCTTCGGTCTTCCATGTAGTAGACCAAGGGGTGTTTCACGCCAACTTGTCCTCGACGTCCGTCCAGTCGATGGATGTCCACCACAGACGCTTGCGGTGAGCTAATCGACTGTCCGCTGCGTCGATTAGAATCGGTTGCGTACAAAGCGGCTTCGTCAGGTCGAGCAAATGGTCTCGAAGAGACGGGTGCGGCACCACGTTCTCGATGATCGTTTCGAAAGGCCGTCCTTGAAATCGGAGGCGTAAGTTGTAGTCGATATCAATCATGTGTTGGAACATCCATCCGGAATCTCCTTGAGCTCCCTTCGGTGACGTCTTCATTCGTGAGAAGTCCGGGCAAGGTGGACCCGCTGTGACCAAAACGATGAATTGTCGCTGTCCAACATGTTGCTCGATGCAGCTCACAACCCTGTCAAAGTTCGCAACGTCTCCCATTTGTACAGACCCGAATCGATCGTGTGTAAACTTAGCACACTGTGGGTTTGTCTCCCAGGACAACGTCATGAGGACATTGTCGGAGACGCGCCGCAGCGCCTCGGATGCTACGCCGATACCATCGAAGAATGACAAATGGGCAACGACCGACAAGGCTCTTGCACAAGGTCGACACTCTGTTACTGTTGTCGTCGTTTGACGTTCGATGGTCGGCCCCAGTGTCCTGGGACACTGGGCCGTGCTGTCCCCTATTTCTTGCCGCCCTTGCCGAATTTGCCTTTCTTGCCTTTGCCCTTGTTGTATTTCGGAGTCCAGGTCGGTCGTGGTTGCGTGGTCGGAGCTGGATTATTGAAGGGCACGGTCGGCGTCGGTGTAGTCATTGTGGGGGCCTGCTGTGTCGGGGCTGATCACGTCGTCGGGATTTGCGGCCAAGTGGTCCAAGTCGGAGCCTGTGTCTGCCACTGTCCGGACGAGGTAGGCCACTGAGACCACGTCGCCTGTGGTGTAGACGGCGAGGATGTCCTATATCTTCTTGTGGTATCCTTTTCCTTTAGGAGCGTACGCCGATTCTGTTCCTTTGGTGTATCTGGTCCTCTTCGTCAAGGGCTGATGAAGAATCTCGTCGACTTTTCGATGTCGACCATGAGATCTCGGTGATGGCGCTGAAGGTCTCTGTAGTACGCATTCTCATGGCGATATCCCAGGCGAAGTCTTCCCAAATGAGCTTGACGTTCGGTATTCGTTGTGCATTCTTGCGTATGAGGCCCTGGAACCAATCGACGTACTTGTTGATGGTGGTCTCGGAGTCATACTTGAGCAAAATCCAAGCCCGGCGAATCGCTTGTGTAGCATCGATTAACATCCACTGCTCCCCTACGTCCCAATCTTCCTGGGATTTCTCGGAGATCTGGTTCTTGTCGTCCAAAATCAGCTTCTTTTCGGAGGAGTTTTTCTGGCGGTTCGAGTTAATGGTGTTGAAGCTCGTCCACACTCGTTGTGCCATAATCTCACCCAAGGGCGTGGCAGTGTACACTTTCGACGTATGGTGTTCGTGGTACATTCGAGCCAAGACCTTCTCTGCTCCCAGAAGTTGCTTCTCGGGAAATGTCCTGCGGACCCCATCGATGGTGATCGAGTTATAGTCCTCAACGAGCTTGGAGTAGACCCCTGTCGGCAACGATTTCGGGATGGTGTCCTTGTCGGGTTGTGCTGGTGAAGGTGTCGGAGACGGCGACGCTCCCGCACTCGAGGAGGGGCCTGAAATGACGACTGGTACTTGTGCCGAGCATGTCGACTCAGTACCAGCCACTAAGTTTTGAGAGCGCTCTCTTCGGCGTCATCGGGGAGTTTGTAGTCGGTGGCGCCCACCTTGACCCCGGGCTTGAGCTTGGTGATGAGGTCGTCGACCACCGCATCCTCGTGAACGTAGGCAGCAATGGTCGCGTGACAGCGGATGCCGATGGCGTGCAAGTACCTGGCAAGGTGATCCGTCGACAGGTCTATCCCTGCCAAGTTGGCAGCTTCGGCGAGGGTAGTATCAGCCATGGTGATTTCGAGCCTAAAGGCCTAGGTCGTAAATTAGTTGGAAAGCGTCTTGCGCTCAAGAACATGAGGCAAAAGTGGTGCAAGTGACAATCTTTCGTGATATAGCGACGGGCTCCGGGGTGACCGAAAATCTGTATAATCGATGCCTCACCAAGGCGGAAATCGGGTTTGAATTGCTAACTCCGCTCTGTGGTCAACAACAGGACCAGCGGGATGTGCGCTGACTGGACCGACGCATCGCCTGGGCGGAAATCTGTGTCACTCGTCCTCCTCAATGGCCTGTTCGGAGTTCCTGAGCTTCTCTGAGTTTGAAACATCGCTTATATTTGGGGCCGGTCGGTTCCCGGTAATGTGGCGGCCCAAATAGTGGACCCCTCCCCCCCTCCCCCCCGCTCGACCAAAAATGTTGGCTTGAATGGTGTGGAACCGGGGGCGCCTCTGGGTGGGCTGGCGCAGGATCTGGGTGGCTTTGATTAAGTTAGAAGGGAATTGAGGGGGCCCAGGGGTTTGAGGGCTGGCTCAGGATCTGGGTACCTTTGATTAAGTTAG